GCCTCCAGCAGAGGCTTGAGGCCTACCAGGCAGTTATGAAACATGCTTTGGATCAGATAGACTGTAACAAAGGAAAGATGTCCCTGACTGTGAGCTTCATACACTAAATAAAAGGGGATATCGTTTTACCCTAAGGAAGATATCTGAGAGAGGTGGCAAGCAACTGCCCAGACAGCAGTGGACAGGGAGCAGGATTTGGGTCTGTGGGTCCCTTCAAGGGCCCTGAGCAAAATGCAGAGGCTCAACACTGACCCCTGCTGGCCATGTATTCAATCTACATGGACTGTCTGGGCCACATGTTTATGCTCTTTTGCTTTAAAAAATGAAAAATAAAACAACCTGTGCAAATATATGATTCAAAGAAACAAACAACAGACCTTTATGTGAGGTAAATAAATCATCTAGATCAAATCTCTTTAAACTAGGTTTATGTAATTTTATGGAAAGAAGATAACAGGATCTGGTTTTCAATTAATATCCAATCAATTCTAGCAGATAGTACCATAATTAAGAGCTGGCTATAATGGCAAAGCAGTGGGTGTTATGGTTTCTTATGATGAAAATTGATTTCAGATCCACGAAAAAGTTTAAAGTTTTCTCAACATAATACTAATTGATCACTAGATAATTTAAAGATTCAATATGGAGGCAAGTCCCAAAAAGACTCAGCTTAGAAAGTGCCCATCATGAAAAACATGCATTCAATGAATTATTGGATGACATACAGTATTTTAATCAGTTGAAAAACTGTCAACAGTTTTTAATGCCTGTCTGACCTTCTCAACAAACATAAGCACATCACAATTAAAATATTGTCAAATGCCCTGCTTTCCCCCTAGGCACCTCACACACTGTTCATGGCTCTGAACTTGCCATGTAAAGCCACTGTTTTCTTCCTGACTTTGTCACACTGGGCATGTTCATCTAACTTGAATCCTCAGTATGGTGAGGAGGGAGGCATCAGGTGCCCAGACATGATCAAAGAGTGAGACAAGCAGGCAAAGCCGCTGGAGAAATCCATTCGTGAGTATTCTAAAAACTAGAGATAATATTTTGCATTTGTTCACAATCATAGACAAAACAATTTAAAAATACTAATAGTGAATATTAAGGCTGGTATGTGCCATGCTATAAACTGAAAGTGCCCCCACACCCAAAATTCCTATATTGAAACCTAACCCCCATTTGGGATGGTTTAATTCTGCTTATAAATCCTTCCAGAGATTGTTTCATTTCTGTAATTTCCCTCCAGATGTCATCCCTTAGCTCTTGTATATTTCTCTGCAGCTCCATCAGCATGGTTATGACCTTTATTTTGAATTCTTTTTCAGGAAGACTGGTTAGGTCTATCTCTTTCTCAGGGGTTGACTGTGATTTTGGTCTGTATCAAATTCTTTTGCCTTTTCATGGAGATAGAGGTAGTTGTGCGGGGCTGGCGTTGTGTGTCACCTGGGAGAACATCCCTTCTTTCTGCTTTGTGGCCTTCCTCTCCTGGGAGAACAGCAACCTTTAGCAGCTTGTGCTGGGCAGCTGCACGCAGACGGGACCTCTGATTCTTGCCTGGCCGCTGTGAAATTAAGCTCCGTGTTTGCTGTGGAGTTAAGCTCTGCAGTTGCTATGGGCATGGCCATCTTCAGTCTGCTGCTCCAATATGGTAGAAACAATGAATACACAACATAAAAAGATCTCTCATCTGATCATTAAATTCAGTTAAGATTAATAGTTTTTAAGAAAACCATAGGGAAGGGGGGAAGGTTCACAGTTAACATTGACCAGATAGGAGAGTAAGCTGCTACTAGTGTTTTCCTCCACAGTTAACACTCTGCAACAATATAATAAACCTAAGTTTCCAAGCTGACATGCTGGCTGAATGATACATTTTATTTTAAAGAATTCTGAAATCAAATGCTGTGAGGTCAGACCTGCTGGCCCCCATTAGCCCCAGACATCACCACTCTGAGCCCGGCCCTTCTGCACACCTGTGGGGTGCAAAACAGAGCCCCATATTATAGAACAAAAGTGTCAGACACACTTAAGGAAGTCTGGGACTCCAGATAACCTTGCACTTCCGCATCTATATAACGCTGATGACTTGTCATCTGCAGCAAAGGGCGGTACAGTAAGTGTAAGCAGCACATGGAGCAGCGTACACACTCATGCCTATACTGTTCAGAACCTCTAACGGAGCTGCTATGGGCTCAAGTGTGGCCACTTGAAATTCATCTGCTGAAGCCCTAACCCCTAGTATTTCAGAATGTGACTGAATGTGGAGACAGGACCTTTAAAGAGGTGATGAAGTTCAAATGAGGCCATCGAGGTGGGTCGTAATCCAAGCCGACTGGTATTCTTCTGAGAAGAACAAATAGGACACATAAAGCCATCAGGGATGTGCACATGGAGGAGACAGCATGGGAGGCCACTGTGAGAAGGCAGCATCTACAAGCCAAGGAGAGAGGCCTTAGGAGAAAACAACCCTACCCACACCTTGATCTTGGACTTCCAGCCTCCAGAAGCATGAGAAATAAATGTCTGTTGTTTACGCTGCCTAGTCTGTGGTATTTTACTTGGCAGCCAGCAGACTAGTAGATAATGTTATACTATCATTTGTCTTTTTGGCTTCGCCAACACCTAAATCCAAAATACTGTTTTCCATTGTTAAGCATCACACATGGATGAAAACAGCCCAACTGGTACCCTGCAACTCCATTTCACCACCATCTGTCTTTGGAAAGATGACTAATCATGCCAACTGATCAGCACCTCTCCATTCAGGGGCCCCCAAGGCTCCAGCAGAGGCTTGAGGCCTACCAGGCAGTTATGAAACATGCTTTGGATCAGATAGACTGTAACAAAGGAGAGATGTCCCTGACTGTGAGCTTCATACACTAAATAAAAGGGGATATCGTTTTACCCTAAGGAAGATATCTGAGAGAGGTGGCAAGCAACTGCCCAGACAGCAGTGGACAGGGAGCAGGATTTGGGTCTGTGGGTCCCTTCAAGGGCCCTGAGCAAAATGCAGAGGCTCAACACTGACCCCTGCTGGCCATGTATTCAATCTACATGGACTGTCTGGGCCACATTTTTATGCTCTTTTGCTTTAAAAAATGAAAAATAAAACAACCTGTGCAAATATATGATTCAAAGAAACAAACAACAGACCTTTATGTGAGGTAAATAAATCATCTAGATCAAATCTCTTTAAACTAGGTTTATGTAATTTTATGGAAAGAAGATAACAGGATCTGGTTTTCAATTAATATCCAATCAATTCTAGCAGATAGTACCATAATTAAGAGCTGGCTATAATGGCAAAGCAGTGGGTGTTATGGTTTCTTATGATGAAAATTGATTTCAGATCCACGAAAAAGTTTAAAGTTTTCTCAACATAATACTAATTGATCACTAGATAATTTAAAGATTCAATATGGAGGCAAGTCCCAAAAAGACTCAGCTTAGAAAGTGCCCATCATGAAAAACATGCATTCAATGAATTATTGGATGACATACAGTATTTTAATCAGTTGAAAAACTGTCAACAGTTTTTAATGCCTGTCTGACCTTCTCAACAAACATAAGCACATCACAATTAAAATATTGTCAAATGCCCTGCTTTCCCCCTAGGCACCTCACACACTGTTCATGGCTCTGAACTTGCCATGTAAAGCCACTGTTTTCTTCCTGACTTTGTCACACTGGGCATGTTCATCTAACTTGAATCCTCAGTATGGTGAGGAGGGAGGCATCAGGTGCCCAGACATGATCAAAGAGTGAGACAAGCAGGCAAAGCCGCTGGAGAAATCCATTCGTGAGTATTCTAAAAACTAGAGATAATATTTTGCATTTGTTCACAATCATAGACAAAACAATTTAAAAATACTAATAGTGAATATTAAGGCTGGTATGTGCCATGCTATAGACTGAAAGTGCCCCCACACCCAAAATTCCTATATTGAAACCTAACCCCCATTTGGGATGGTTTCTTGAGAAGTGGAGCTTTGGGAAGTGATTAGATCATGAAGGTGGAGTCTCATGAATGGTATTAGTGCCCTTATAAGAGACTGGAGAGAGATGACCTCTCAGCCATGTGAGGACACAGCAAGAAGTCTGTGAACCAGAAAGTGGGTTCTTCACCAGACCCTGAATCTGCCCGTGTCTCGATCCTGGACTTCCAGCCTCCAGAACTATGAGAACCAGATGCTGTTTATAAGGCCCCCAGTTGATGGTGCCCTATTACAGCAGCCTGACTGGACTCAGATGTGCCAGATAGTATACCAGGCACTTCACAGCTAATGACTTACAGCAATTCTATGAGGTAGCTACTCTTCTTATTCCCATTTTACAGATGAGACACCTGAGGCTCAGAGGTTAACTGACTTGCCCCAGGTTACACAGCTAGCAACGCAAAACCTAGACACAAAAGAGAGGCCAAGTCACTAGAGCAGAAATGTCAAAATGACTGAAAAAGAGTAAAAGGTAATTAGTTCAGTTACATGAAAGGGGTCACCATTTTTATTTTTATTTCCTGTCTGGATGAAATATTTTCAGTGTTTACCTTGTTCAAAAACCAAAATAGAACGCTGAACAGTTCAATCACATACCTGATAGCTGTGAACTGCTTTCCCTCTGGGAAGTGGGAAGGGGTCGGATATGGTCCCCCTCACCGGCTATGCTTCCTACTGCAGCTCACCAGAATTCTTCACTAAAAGAAACTGCATCCTTCTTCGATAAACTCTTCCCAAGCAAAGAGATAGCAGACGTATGCACACCAGGCCCAGAGGAGACACATTCCAGGCTAGCTGGGATGATGGGTTAAAATTTAGCACCAGGGGAGCTTCTCAGAGGAAGCACCACAAGAATGTAGTCCTGAGGACAGAGAAGGCATTCCTTCTTTCAACAAGCTGTGAGTGACAAGTGGGGGGGTGGGCAGTTAGCTGGAGGCAGTAAAGAGAAAAGGGCTTCCCCGGCCAAGACACTATCTGTTTGCAAACACAAAGCTGGGCATGTACTTGCAACTCAGAGTAAAACAATAACAGGTCTTAATAAATATTATAGCTAAAAGGACAGTCTTCACAGCTCCTCTCTCTTTCCCCCAAAGACAGGCTATGCTGATAAAAATTCCCAACAGGGAAGACAACATCCAGATTTACCAGGGTTTTGGAGCAGCTCTTCCAGATAACATGATTATGTTTTTTGATTATTTTGCATGGTCCGTTAGAGAGGCCAGTCCCTCAGAGGGAGACAGACTTATCTGAGAGATATTTTATTCTACTCTGAAAAGAAAAACAAACCGACAAACGTTAGACCACCCAGAGAATAGTAAACTTGGAGATTAAAAAATCACAAAAGATTTAAAGAAATGGACAAAAGTCTCCCTGGCCACCGATGGGATCTCTGCTCCTCTGGAAGCTCATCACAGGGTGGTGCTTCAGAAGCAACTTTACCATTCAGGTGGAGCCAGCGGCTGTGGCGGGAGAGGCTTCTACAGCAAATTTCTTCAATAAAAAGAACAAAATTGGTGTCAATACTCTTGGAAGCTTTAAGAAGAATGTGCATGCAGATTATGTGCAGTGTAGGAAAAAAAATGAAGGAAAGGAAATAAAATGATGGGTGATTTCAGAGAAATAGCTATCTGTATTTCTAAGAACCCTACACAGAAGGAACCAAGTACTGCAGGTTTTACTAAGTCACACAGAAAACCTCAACATATGACATATAAAAGCCCTCCCCAGTCTAATTAATCATGCTGTTCTGGGCTCAGGCCATTGACTAGGCTGGCAATGGTCACATCTGAGTCTTACAGACTATGTGGCGTTCACATTAGCAATTAACACATACTGAGCACTAACTCAGGACCAGGCACGGCGCTAAATGCCTGACACACACCAGCACACTCAGTGCTAGCACACTCCTTGCAAGTGAGTGCTGACATTTCCCTCTGACTCTAGGAAGCTGAGGCTCAGAAAGGTTCTCTCCAGTTGCACAGTACTAAACAGAAAATAGACAATCTGACTCCATCCATTCAACTCCAAAAACCCCACATGTAGGCTCTGCCTCCCAGACTAGGATCTGTGCACATCTGAAATCTGGCTGGACTGACAGAAAAGGGTAGAGCCTGTCTGATGTTAGCCTCCAGCCTGTGAAGTGTTCCCCATCAGAAAGCTTTTGGTACTTAAATGCCTGGAAAGCTGGTGCAAAGGCAATTTACTACCTCAGAGGAAGGGCTGCATTTCTAAGACACAGCTCTCCCAAGCAGAAGCAGAGATTTCACATGCTTATAAGTACTAAAAAACCCCTTTCTTCAGTTCAAAATTTAATTTCTGCTTACCTTTAAGGAAATTAAGAATGAGGAAGGAAAAGCTGGAGATGCAATAACCATTCTCTTCCCATGCAAATGAATCGCCACCTGTGTTTAATTTTGATATTGATACATAAAATGCCATGATTATAGTTAAAATTTTATAAATAAAGGGACACAGGAATTCTTATACCACATTTAATGTAACCACGTCAAATATTTTAATATATAAAAATATTGAAATAGACACAGTAAGCGATATAGGCTCTGATATCTGAAGGCATCCTGGGGCCTTTCAGGCTCCAGAAGGCAGGGAGTTCTAGCAGAAAGCAGCCACTTCTCAGGTCTACACACACGACAGAGGCCAAAGGAGGTGGAATCTCCAACCTTCTCTTAAAGCCCCCAAGAAGCCCTGCTGCTGTTCTTCAAACAACTTCCTCAAACTACTTCTTTGGGAAAATTTAAGAATGACCTTGCTTTTCACCACTGAATATTACACCAGAAACATCTTTTTCAGGATGCAAGTGGCTATCTCTTCTTCTTCAATAAAATCCAAGGCTTCAAAGAGATAGTGCAACTGAACTGAAATAGCTACACTACTGTCCCTTTATAAATTATAAACTCTCCAATATTTATAAATACAACATAAAGAATCCTTTTCAAAGCTAAAGAGTATAAAGTTCCTCTGCTGAAAGCAATCTCTTTCTTCAACCCCATGAGAAAAAGACTGCTGAGAAGTGGAAAGCCCCAGGGCCAAAAGTGCAGACAAGCCAGGCCTTCTGCCTGCCATTCACCATCTTCCTCTGGAGCAGTGCGGCCAACCAGCACCATGACCATGACAGAGCCAGAGGGCAGCGAGGGACACACCTACGCTGCAGCTGCCAATTCCGAGTACCAGAGACAACTGCTCTGTGGCTGCCACCAAGGAGCCTTCACACTGGGTGGGGCCAACGCATCCCAGAGGCAGAGACGCTAGGCAGTGGGGAAGCTAAGCTAAATGGTAGGGTCTTCCTTCAGGTTACCAAATGCAAATCCTCTACAACTTTTCATCCTCCTTCCTTTCGTGGACATGTTTCAACAGCACCGACCGCAATCTGTGCCAGGCCAAACCAAGGATTCATGGTACATTTGGCTCAGGCCTAAGAAGCAACCTGTCATCTTTTACAGTCTCCTGGACATCTCCCCTTCTTCTCCAGTGTCACATTCTGGTCTGGATCATATAAATTCATGGGCCAAATCCATCATCCTTTGCTTCATCCAGCAAACATTTCTGAGCACCTACTGTGTTCCAGGCAAGATAATAAGGTAAATGTGGACACAGGCAAAATAAGGTAAATGGGGATGCAGGTCCCCCCGTCTCTAAGTGGGGAAGAGAGACATCTAGATGAAGAACACATCCACTGTCAGCTTGCTACAGACAGAGAAGCTTCACACAGGCTGTGGCATCTGAGCTGGCTCCTGGCAGATAAGTAAAAGGATCTGGGGTGAAGAGGAGTGGAGAGAGTATAAACAAGACTTCCAAAGGCACAAAGCCAGGAGTGTGCCCTGGGTCAGGAAGGGCAATCAGTTCGGCTTGGTGGGGAGGACATATGCATAAAAGGACCAGGAGCTCAAGAAGATTGTAGCTAGATGCAGAAAGGCCTGCATGTCATGCCAAGGAACTCGGAACATTACTGTTGGTAATGAACAAGTAGGAAGAGTGTTTAAGGGAGAGGGTCCAAACTGAAGCCATCTTTCGCCTGAACAAGTTCTGTTTCACCTATGAAGTATTTTTCAAATACTGGACGGAGCTGTCCCTTCAGATATGATACCGTTATGGAGTTCATGAACACCCTCCCCTGGCCCCAACATTTGAGTTTGCCGTGCCTGGTTTAAAGGAGAAAGTTACAAAATAAGGTGCGTATTATGAGAAAATAACACTCTAAGCAATACAGACTAAACCACAGGGCAGCAAAAGTGAGGCAGAGGGAAAGTTAGGAAGATACTACAAAGCACAAAAATGAGATAAGAAGAGCCTAAACTAAGAAACTAAAGATCCAGGAAAAGGTAATGAGTCAGGAAATGTTTAATATACTCTAGGCACAAGAATACTTATGGTGTAACTTTTTGAGGAGCAAAAGCCTGTATTAGAAGAAACAATGAATGATTCAAAAAATTTTTTCAATCAAGAAACAAAGAGGCTAGTAAGTAGACTGTGGAAAGTCTACTCAAATGCCCTAAATGAGCACAAAGAGTTGAGATACAGCAGTAACTGTGATTCTTACCCTAGACTCTCGTCCATTTTCCATTCGGGTCGGACTGCAAACTTTCTGAGCTAAGCTCTTGACAAGTGATGTTTACAAGCAGGGGGTGGGCTGTAAACCATTATAACCTCGCACACCACGATGGGCAGGGAAAACGTATAAACCTTTCCCACTCCTTCCAGGGAAGGCGCTGCCCCAGCAGCGCTGACATCCAGCATGCTGAAAATGCCCGGACACTCATGTCCACTTCCGGCTGGTTCTTCTCTCGGCTCCCCTCCACCAGCTTTTTCAGAGACTTGGACATTATCTGCACCAAATAACAAAGCACGTGAGCGACGGCGGGACGGTGCAGGGACAGAAAGGCGAGAGCCCCGGGCTGGCGCTCCCGTTTTCCTTGGAAAGCCGGCATCGGCGGACAGGGTCCGGGTAGGGGGGATGGGGCGGCGTGGGGAGGGGGTTGCCACAGCTTTTCGGAGAGATGCGAACCCACGCGCCAGCCACACATACCGCGGAAGGCAGCTCCTGACAGGTGGGGCGCGGGAAGCACGGGCTCTGCCAGGGCGCAACTCAGGTGCCAGAGATGCAGCGGGACAGAGCCCAGCGCGCCTCAGCACGAGCACACGCCCTGTCCCGGGGCTCGATGCCGGTGCACTCGGCGCCGCTCGCCGCTCCACGCCCCGCCCACCCCGGACCCTTCCCAAATTAGGAGAACAGTTCACGTGGCTTTAGGGCGAGCCTCCGCCCCACCCCTAGGTTAGGCCGCCCCCTGGAATCCTCTGACTTGAAATTCCGATAGGGCTGGGGTTGGCGCGTGCGCACTAATCTTGGCGCAAGCTCAGTTTGTAGGTCGAAGCGCAGAGTATTGTGGGCGGAAGCGGGGCAGTTTCGGAGGTGTCTGCGGAGGGGCGTTGTAGCTGACATTGGCACCTAGCGAGGGTAGAAGTAGATTGCCTCTCAGCGTCCTGCTTCTGTAATTGTGGCTCTGCTTGTCATTAATCTCTCCCTCACAATTGTGCCTCCCGCTGTATTATAAGCTCCTCCAAGACAAGAACTCCGTGGTGGTCTGTGGTCTCCTTCTCAAGTCCTTGCAGGGAACTATTGTTTTCTCTTGGAAAGCATTTGTAGATTACTTTATATTCTTCATGTTATGAAATTTCCCCGTAATATCTCTGATTGGAGATCTTCTTCATTTTACCTGTTTGGCACTCATTTGGTCCTTTTCATCTCAAGATTCATTGCTCTCTTCCTCTCTGAAAAAAATTTTTGTAATTTCTTTGAAATTTCTTTCCTACCTTTTTCTCAGATTTACCAGTCTTTCTGGAAATCTTATTAGTTAATATGGCAGCCTCCAAGACCAATTTCCTATAGTTATCTTTTTTTTCTTGTATATTTCTTCATCTTTTTAACTTAATATTCTGGGAAATTATCTCATTTTTATCTACCAAATCTATTAAATTTTCAAAAATTACGTTAGCTGTTAACCAAAAATACCCTCTAAGACCTCTTTCTTGTTTAATAGCACCCTGCTTCTGTTTCACAAATGCCCTTACCTCTCTCTCAACTATCTCTGAGAATAACAAGTTTTAAACCTCTCTTCTGTTCACTAAATTGTGTTTCCTTGTGTCCCTTTCCTGTTAGTTTAGCTAGCCTTTTCCTACTCATGCTGAAAATCGTCCTCTGTGTGGCGCTTCTTGGTCATCCTTTCATATTCAGCCATGAAGGTCGGAGCTGATTTTTCTAGAGAGCTAGTGTGCTTTCTTTCCTCTTCTGCTGTTGATGTGCATTTGTTTCCCTCCTAGGTCCGCATTAATTTTCCCTGGGCTGTTTGTTAAATTTCTTTAGAAGTGGAGAACCCAGTTGTATGCCTGCATGTAATCAATCACAAGGGTGCCTTCCCTGGTAGAGGGAAATGGTGATTTGGAGGTGCCAACTAATTCAGTTGTGATTTACCATCTCACCTTCTCACACTGCACCTGCCAGCCCCACATCCAGAAAATCAATTCCCAGTTCTGCTGCAGAATTATTTTGGCCTGCAGTTTCTGTCTGCTTCATTTGTCAGCATGCTTTCATTCATGTCCTGTTTTCCAGAAATTTATTTTCACTTCTTTATAATTGTTCTCTGATTCTCTTCACTTTTAGTAGTGCTGCTCTTAATGAAATGTGTCCCTAAGTTCCATATTTTTATAACATGAAACCAGGGCCAGCTACCTGGGTATGTAGTTTGTGAAGGTACACAAAGCTCCATGCTTAGATGGGCCTTATGCTTGGTTTTATGTTCCGCTGTCACCATCTTGAAATATTCACTAATTTTTGAACAAGGAGCCCTGCATTTTCCTTTTGCATTGGGATCTGCAAATTATGTAGGCAGTCCTGTATAGAAAAGTCAGTATCTATCAGAGCTTAATTTGCTTCTGCGGCATCACTGCCCAGTGCTCTATTCTTACATACAGTATATGCTTAAATAGTTCCCACGAGGAGAGATGTACTACTACCCCTACCCTGTGGCCCCACAGAGTAGGCCAATCAAAGATAGAGGATGGGAGATTTCTGGTCCACATGAGGCACACTAGATTATGACAACTGGTAAATTCACATAAATTTTTGCAGAAATCATTAATTTTAAAAAAGCTTTTTTTATTCTCTAAACTGTATTTATAATAAACTCCTTACTACATGACATATAAAGTTAGATTAAAATTGGGAAAACCAAATTTGAATCATCAAATATCCAGCAATTATCACATCATTTTTCTCTCAATAACTTTCCCATTAAATTGATAGCACAGATGACTTGTGGTCTGAGTAAGTAAAAAATTTCGTTTCATGAACATGACCTTTGATGCTGTGTAATCTCTGTTTGTACTAAACTAATAGCAATTGCATTAACATTATTTCTGTGTCATGTAACTGTGCCAATCTTTTTTTAACAATTCCAAAAGATCCATGAAAATAGTTTGACTATCATATTTAAAAGTTCACACCTAATCCTTCCAACTGGAGGGAGGCTCAAGCTTGGGTGGTGGCTGAGGGCAGAATCTCTGGGCTGTCACTCGCATTTGATAAAACTTTCCATACCTTGTTTTTCTCAACTGTAAAATAGGGGTGATGGTTCTTAGGATTCCGTTTCAATGAGTGACATGAGAATGATGCCTGGCATAGAATAAATGTTATACAGAGATAAGTTCTCAATAAAATTAATGATGTTAGTACTACAATGCTGAGTGTGTGACATAGTTTTAACAGTTTCCCCATTAAATGGAGTTGAAATTTACTAGGAAGTCATGACAAATAGAACCCCCATCCTGTGCATCTCATACCCCGCACTGTCATCGGCCCCATCCAACCCCTGCACATTGGAAATAAAAAGTCCTGAAGTGTCAGGAGGTTCTAACATGCTTCCTAGGAAAGTGTGTCTCTGACTGAAAATGACTCGTGTAGATACCATACTCTCCTGACACAGTCTAAGATCAAATCTTCTTTACTGTTTGACAGCTGCATATCTTAATTTTGCTTTCAGATAAAATTCCCATACTACTTCAGAAGTTCTTTCTACACTTTCTCCATATCCTGTACCTTTGTGATTCATTTTTAGATCAAAGAGCAAGATGTTATATCTGCCTCCAACAAACTGCACCGTGAGGGCCCCAGTCCATTGCTCCAGCTTGTCGAGGCCCTTTGGGTTTGAAGGTGTTTATCACATTCACCATTCTTTCCAATAGCAAGTCACCTATAAAGTTGCACCTATTGAAATCCAGAGTTAAAGGAAGCAGCAATTATGGTGAAAGTATTTTATTTATGTGGCTCAGTACTCTGTGCAGAAGTTACTACTCTGGCACATGGGCATTAGAGTAAGATGAGTAACACATTCTACAGCTTCTTCCATTCACTTGCTCCCATGTTCTTAATGAGACTTAACTTCAAACATTTAAAATAAAGTCTCTTTGTTAAAGACAGCATAACACTTTATGAAAGCATTCCTTAAACTCTGTATAACTTCACATCTTGTGTTGTTACACTGGAATAGACATGGCGGTACTCATGGAAACAGGCACAGAGATGTGAAGCAAGCACTTTGCTAGTAGGGCTAAACTTCAAATGCAGGCAGCTTGGCTCCCAAGGTCCTATTCTGAAAGCGTCGTGTGCTTAGTCGAAATTTAAAATTCAGCTTGAACAGTTATTTACATTCATAGTGAAAACGACTACATTTTAAAGAGTTAAAAGTAGATGCTGCATCACTGTGTACACTTCAGTAATGTTTATTACCCCTAATTTGATATTCACAGTGAAAACTGTACCTCTGTTTTATCATCAGCTTTTGAAAATGTACAGCACATATGCCATATGATTTCCAGATTTTTAAAGGATCTTAAAAAATTTCAGCTCCAAATATTAGAACTCAGGATGACATGGGCAGCCAAGACTAAAGAAGCCAAATTCCACATTCAAAACAAAATGTGTAAATATTGATTCCACATGTATTTTGGTGAGAAACATTAAAGTCAAGTTATTCTCAGTGGCACAGACAGGAGGTCACGTATGAGGATGGCAGAATCCCAGCCAGTGCCAAGTCTGATGGCCCAGGCGGTGGAGCCGAAGTGCTGAGGAGCACGGGGTGTCACAGTTAGCTGGCCCAGGCCAGTCGGATTGCTGACGGGCGCCCTGCATACTCCGCGTGAAATTTTATGAAGACTTGATTTGAGGAGGCCACAAAGGGAGCTATGTTAGTGTCCTAAAATTGAAGACAAAGAAGTAAATTATAATTTTCACAAATTTGAACATTTTTCTTCTGGAAATGTAAAAAAAACCTAGTAAAAAAGTATTGCATAAAGAAGTGTTAGAGAATTTACAGTAAACCTGCATATATGTCTAGAAGTAATCTTCTAAGAATTAATATAGACACATTACAACAGAATAGTGCTAGAGGTGGGGGGGCTGAGGAAAAAGGGAAGTAGTTGCTAATGGTCACAGGGGCGTCTTCTCTCTGGCGTGGTGGAAATGTTCTAAAATGGAATGTGCTTAAGCCCTGAGCTACACAACTCTGTGTTCTACTACACACTGGTGACTGTACACTGTCAGTGAATGAACTCTATGGCATGTGAGTTATATCTCAATGAAACTTTTGTGTACTTTTTCTTTCCATTTTAACCTGCTCCCAAATTTCCACATGACAAACTAGTATGGACAGTTAACTGAAGTTTTAAACTCTCCTAACTTCTCCTGTTATTCTTTCATGTTTCCAGATGTCAGACACTGGAACTGAGAGGAGTGTGGTATCTCCCAATGAACAATTACATTTATTTTATCATTAAAGAAGAAAACATTTTCAAACCATCACATGATTAGCTATCTAAGGAGCGACTTAACACCATCACTCTGGAAGTAAACTTACTTTACTGGACTTGACATGCTAAAGAAATTGACTGTATCTTTAATTTAAAAAAGTGAACAACTACACTTGAAACCATGTCCACATTAATGAAATATAATGCAAAACTGGAGAAATATTGTAAACACCACAATTTAAAAAACCTGACAGATTTAGTTGTGTACATTAATGTCATTGCAACACTGGTTTAAATGGAAGGAAGCTCTCCTCTTGGTGCCTCAGTTTTCTTTTATCTGCAAAGCCCAGATTATCCACCTTGTCAAAAAGACAAGAAATAACAAGGATTAGCAAGAATGTGGAGAAAAAGGAAGGCTCATGCACTGTGGGTGGGAATGCACACTGGTGCAGCCCTTATGGAAAATAGTACAGAGATTCCTCAAAAAATTAAAAACGGAATTACTATATAATCCAGCAATTCCACTTCTGGGAATGTATCCAAAAGAAATAAAAACAGTAACTGGACAAGATATGTGCATCCCCATGTTCACCGCAGCATTACTGACAATAACCATGGCATGGTAACAGCCTACATGCCCATCAAGGGAAGAACGCATTAAAAAAAATGTGCTATAGGTAGCTAGATAGACATAAATATACATGGACTGTTAATGGGAAATCCTGCCATTTGTGACAGCAGGGAAAGGACCTTGAGGGCATTATGCTAAGTGAAATGTCAGAGAAAGACTAATACTGTGTGAGTTTCCCCACTGTATTATTCACTTATGTGGAATCTAAACAAAACAAAACCAAGCTCATGATACAGAGCACAGTGGTGGTGGCCACAGGCGTCAGGTGGGGCAAGGGAAATGGGGGAAGGTGCTCAAGGTGCAAGCCTGCAGCGCCACAGTAAGCAAGTCCTGGGGTGATGTGCAGCGTGCTGACTGCAGTTCTAATACTGGACTGCATAATTAGAAGATTACTGCTGGGAAAGTAGATCAGTAAAGTTCTCATCACAAGAAAGTAAAATGCATGCTGAGCACCTGAAATTAATATAATGGTACATGTCAATTATGCCTCAATTAAGAAAAATCCCTGTCCAGTTTAATTAGAACATCCAACTGAGTCAAGAGGAGAACCGCGAGAGACAGATCGTCCCAGCAGCAAGCACATGCCGCTCACCGGAACGCTGTGTATCTGCTGTCACAGGGACGGAGAGCAGTGAGGGTGGACGCCGGCAATGTCCAGTCGGCATCACAGTTCTAACCTGATGTTTAGGGAAGATCCGTTACACCACAACTTCACAAAAACAATCACACTATTAGTCACCAGATCCGCCTTTAATATTCTTTTCTTCCAAGAATTCCTGCCATTTTCAGCAAGAAGTAGATGAAATCAGGGGCGAGGTGTCCTAATTTTCTATAGCTTTACTCATGAAGAAAGAAACATGGGTAGCCAGCCCTGGGCGCTGCACTGAAATTACATATGGAACTTTTAAAAGCAAGGGTTCCTGCCCCAGAAATTCTGAATCAGTAGGTGTGTGAGGGGATGGAAGTTCCGAACGCTAAATACCTGTGATTCCGCGCAGGCCAGGTAGGTAACAATCGCTATTCGGTTAACGCAATGCCCACTAGGTGGCACTCGCGCTCCCCAGATAAAAACGCAGGTCAGAAAACTACCGAATTTGTAAAAGGCTTGTGCTTTGTACTTTCCATGTGTCTGCCTTTAAAAGTGTATACTGAGTGATTATTCTAAAATGATAAATGGGAATTTAAAATGGTTGTTTACTCACTGCTCCACAATATGGTCCAGACGATGGAGAATTAGCATCCGGTCCATCGTAGAGAATGAGGTAATTGTGAACACAGTCTCCGGGGTCGTCGATGCTGATCAAGTAAAAGCTGATGGTGACAAGTCTTTCGGCAGGAGCAATGATGGTCCATTCACAGTGGGTGTTGTTTGGGTACGTGCCGGGATAGCCGGGGCTGGTGAAGGAGCCGCTGTCTCCCTCAAGAGTTCCCCCACAGCCTGCAAGGAAACACGTGCAGGAAATTTGGTTCAGCAAAGCAGAAACCGCCCACTCGCCCGGCAAGAAAACAGTTATTTTCCTGAGGTGCAGAGACCCTCTGCAAGAGTCGCTGAAGCCAAAACCTTTCTTCTGCGCCTTCTTTGGGCCGCATCCCACGCATCCCTCCCACCCCCTGCCTGCCTCCTCCTCCCTCCACCTCATACTCTTTCCCTGCACATCCTGATTCAGGGACGAGCCTCTCCAGGACTGGCCTTTGGAAAGCGCAGGTTGAAGACACAGCTGTGTACTCTTGGGTGGGATGGTGTCAAGCTCTCCTACACAGCGAGTTGATGATAATGACAGGGGTGATGTAACATTAACAGTGAAGTTCCAGGGCTGAGTTGAAAGAGGGTGTTATAGCAGGTTTCGGCAGTAACTACTTTATTATAAAAATGACTTTACCAGGCTTATAAACCATAGTCCCAAAACTGACGTGCTCAAAGCCAAAGCTCTTGAAATATTGGTGTGAATTTGCTCAGTGTGCTAACTCGCACAAGAAAGCTACCATTATTTAGAACAGACAGCCCTGGGGACCCCAGTATCATACGAACTATGGAGGAAGACTGCATGGCATACTTTAAAAGTGCTGGGCTGGTGGCTGCCCACTGGAAGTCTAATCCTGCCTCTGCCACAGTCTACCTGTGCATTTGGAAAAAGTCATTAAACTTGTGTTTTATTTTCTCATCTATAAAATTAGGGCATTGGAGATCATCTTTAAGCATCTTTAGCTGCCAAGATTTCACTATTTATGATTGCCTTGATAGAAGAACCCTTTTCTAGTCCTGCAGGATATATTTTAAATGAGTCATTTTTATTATTCTATTTTTTAAAGATTTTGGTATAATTATGTGTTATAAAGCTATTCCTCCTCTTCTGAGTAAAATATACCTACATGACTCTAATTTCCTAACCAACCAACCAAGAATCAGGAAGGTACTTAGTTCCCTGAAAAAGCAATTAGCCTCCAGGACTGCCAGCAACTGACAGGGACTGCGAGGAGCACAGCCTCTTTTATACATATGTATATAAAAATAAATATTATACATACATAGATATAATACATATAATATATATATGCTCAAAATTTATAAAGGAATTTTTAAATCTTCATACCTTATCTATACTTTTATGTGAACATGTATTCTTTAATATGTTGTAATATAGAGAAATAATCAGAAAAAGTAGGATTGAAGAGATTCTATATATTTTCATTGTTAAAAATTCCTGTTTTTATCAGAAAATAATCAGGTGTACAGATGGATAAAAAGAATAAGTTCACTTCCAGTTGTCTGTCTTCCATTAGATCCCGTACGTTTTTCTCAATCACATTACTTGTTCCATGAAACACAAATGTCTTACCAGAGGGTGATGAGGTCCAGATTATTTCATATCCATGACTGGATGTGGTACTATCAGTCTCAAAGTGTAGGAATAGTTCATTATTTTGAGAGAAGATAGGATCTGGCAGCAGAGTTCCACAATATTTGCCAAGCAAGGGTGAACTGCTTTCACTTCCATTTCTCACCTTTAAAAATGAGTCATTATTGATTACACTTAAGCATATTATACTTTCTTCTCTAATTTATTATGGCTATACATGAACACATGAGACAATTTGACAACTTTTTGGGAAAAGCTTTGTTGTTTTATGTATTTAAGAATAAAGAACTTTTTGAAGATAGACCCAGAAGTCACATTCACTTGCAAAAGAGGGACACATTCAATTTGGAGAGCAAAACCCATCTGTGAATTTTAAAAAAGATGCCGGTGGGGAGACGGCGGTGGGGGCAGATATTGCCTGCTCTGCTGCTGGGGAATTCTGTTACACGTCATTTATTGTACTGTGTGCATGGTTTCTCCATTGAAAATGGCTTGCCTATAAAGGAGCAATGAAAAAAATCAATATACAAATTATAATAAAGTTCAAAACAAAAAGAATTTCTGTATGGGAAAAGGACACAATACAATAAATCTATAAAATTTCTGACAATTACATATATTTTAAAAACACATATTCTGAGACTGAATTGATTTTTTTTTAATTCACTCTCTGGAGTAGACATATATAAAAACAGGAAATGAGTCAGTGTGAGTGTGGGTAACCACACTGTGTCCTCAGTGCACCTCCAGCACATTCATAACCAGCCCTACTCCGAGGAGGACTCTTAGGGCATTTTAGGAAATGTTATCCAGGCAGTGTGGACTTGTGAGCAGCTCAACACATGTGAATGCAAATTTTATTGAAATATGTTTTCAAAATCTCAGAAGTTCCTCCATTCCCTTTACCATTTCATAGTTTAACATTTACTTAACTGCTGGTTGTCTTAAGTCTTCGAGTTTCTTCAGAGGCACAAGGGTGGTGCTGATCTGGAGAGATCACTTTTAGGTTTATGTAGTAGCCAGTGGGAGAGAAGAGTGCCTTTCTGGTGCTTTTTGGATTATTCTGCAAACTGTTTAAAGAAAGTGGCCTTGCTATGGACAGAGGAGCCACTATCCCAGAAGGCAGAGCAGGCTGCGGTGGTCTCCAGTGCTCGAGGGCGCAGCCTGCCGCCTCTCTTCTCAGCTTTGGATTCTTTTGTCCATGTCCCTTTCTAGAAAGCTGATGCTCTGAGAGGAAGGACAGGACGGCAGTTCCCGTGAGCATGCTAATTACTTCCTGCTTGTTCTTCTCTTCACTGGAGGAATGGGACAATGAGAGCAGTAGTCACCTCTGGGTCTTTATAAAGAGGGCCCTGAAAGGGGCGGAGGAGGCACTGAACCCAAATGCAGGTTCCAAACTCAGCCCAAAGTGGGGCCTCGCAGGGTGGTGATATGGCCAGTAAGAAGGCTCTGTCCCCGCTACCGCCAACACCAATGGGAGGCCGAGGTGCCCTGGGATGACTGACAGGGAGCCATGCCAGCCTTGCCACCAAAACCCAGACCTTACAGGCTGAGGCTGCAGTTTCCTGTCCTTGCTCATTGGACAGGAAGTTTCAGCCCCATTTCTGTGGAGTAAGGAGGGCAGCCAGGAGGAGGGTTCTCGCCCTCCCATGCTGGGGAGCCAGCCTGCATGCCCAGACCCAGGGGCAGAGCGGACATGTTCGCTCCATCAGCCACTGTCAGCTCAGGCTTGACGTGAACCAAGCGCAGTCACTCTGTGATTCTGAACTGGCGGGGTTACCCGCCATTTCTCTGTGCCCCCCTCCTCCCCTTGTTTCTGTTTTACACTTCACGTAAATGTTTACACTCCATGGTGGGTGAGGTATGTGGTCTGAGTTTAATACCTGATCAGCACAAGTAATACATATTTCTCCCCTCATTTCATCCTGCTACATCCATCTGCTCCTGCTCCCTAGTGGCAAGTGTTCCCTATGGAGAGGGCATGAGCTTCCTCCAAACACTTCTTATGCTGCAGGTTAGAAATAGTCATTAACAAAGGACTTAGGGTCATTCTACAGGGACAGCTTTCCAGGATAATAAAGCTCTATAGCAGGAGTAGAGCAGAGGAGCAAGCAAACATTTTGAAAAAATTACTGAAGATTCTCATGTGCATGAAACAGCCCATTAAGAGAGCTTCAGATACCATTTAAATTCAAATTCAACTCTCAGAGGAAGAGAGCATCTTTATGGTGTACTGCAGTTTATTTCCTAAGAATGAATACATCTCCAACAGAAGTTGCAAAGAACACCCACATAAACCCTGGGGTTTTCATGGCAAAGTGCAGGCATGGAGCTCCATACACTATCTGTATCAGTGAGGGGCTCATACAGGACACTTTCCTATAGACAGCAACACAGTGGTGCTCCTCGGAGTGACGCTGGGCACGTGGGGCAGAAAGGACACAGGGAACCTTTCTGGTGGCACTGGACAGTCACAAATGTGAGTGCTCGGGAGTGCGGCTTTGTTTGCTCCAGGCATGGGAGGACGATCTCGGTTTTGGGGAGGGAGTGGGAAATGGGTGGGCGGAGGAAGGGCAGCTGCAAAGTCACGTTTGTCCAAATTAGAGCTTCCCAGTGGTAGGGAGACAGAAACAGCATTCTCCTGGCCACTGCCGAGCACCTGGTCAGACAACACTCTCTCTCGAGAACACTGAAGATGCCCAAACTCTTGCAGTCATCAGGGAAAGAAGACTAATCCTTCAGTGTCATTTCATTTTATTTTGATATCCACACAAAGCACACTTCTTCACGTCAGTGCCATGGTCCTCCCAGAATGAGCACTTTGTTCTTGGGCATCTGTAGGTAAACTGAAGGTTCCTCTGGCAAGGATCCTCACCTGAACCTAAACTACTTGGTGATGTAACTGGTCTGCTGCTAGGCTACTGCTTCCACACTCGGTAGACCTGCTGACTGTTGGATACAGATGTAATTCTAGTGCTTGACCTCTCGCTGGGAAAACAAGCCAGGTAATAAACCCTTTCACCCCAAGAAAGTTCCATTGTCATTCCTCGGTCTCACTGAATCCATAGTGAAGTTGCTGGGGCTGAAACCCATTGACAAGACAGCATCCTTCTGCTCTGGCCAGTCTGAACTCACACACCACCTCCTTCAAGATGCCTTCTCTGTCCCCGAACTGAACTTGTGCTCCTAACAGAGCTGACTCAGTCCCTTCCACATTGTGTGGGGACTGACTGATTCCAGTCTGACCCATTGTACTTGTGAGCCTCCAGGGAATTCTAAGTGTCTTGCTTCCTACCAGATTCCTAGTGTCTGGATCTGGAAGATGTTTCATAAATATTTACAGAATGAAAGGATACTGAATAAATTAGTGAATTGAATAAGGGATGTATGATAGGCAGTAGTAGAGAAAAAGGTGAAAAGCCTTAAGGGATCCATTATCTTTTGAAAAATTCGTTTACATGATACTGAAGTATGTTACCTCCAAGAAATCGTGTCTGCATTCACTGGAGTCTTCGATGTCAAACGAATGAAAGAAGAGGGAAATGGTGTGGTTGTGTGGGGCCGTGAGAATAATAGTGCAGTCCATGCCATTGTTGTAATTGTCTGGCCAGCCAGGACTCTTCAGATTGCCAAATGCCTTTTTATATTCTCGGTTGCAATCTTAGAGAAAAGAAAATTCATAATGAATGTATGCATCCTAATATTGAGTGCTCTTTTGACCTGAAAAGAATAATACAAAAAGCTTATTGAATTTAAACAAACTTTAGAGAAAAGTTAAACCAGCCTCTCCTTTCCCTGTGTGATAACTGAGATCCCAGAGGAGAGGTGAATGGCAAATGGAGCGAATTCAGCAGTGTCTTGAAAACATAACACACCCCCACGTGCAGTGAGATATGAATGTTCCCCTTTGCAAATGAACAGTCTGCCATTCTCTGCCCTTTTCTGATCACATAGGGGGAACTGGCTGACACTTAGGCTCTTTTTTTAGGCATAAAGACTTCATCCAACACGGAGTTTTGTATGAAGATTCTATTTAAATCCTTCGATGAATTAATTTGTTCTGATAGAACTGGCAAATTGTTGTTCTTTGCCATTTCTGGTAAAAACATCCAAAGTATCTTTGTTTGTTTTAATCAATCTTGAAATGAACATTAGATGAAGTATTCTCTAGAAATAAACTTAGTTTAAGTAATCAAATAACCCTTTCAAGGCTTCTTGGTTTTTACAAAATAACTTCCTGACATATAGTGATTTCTATATGTGGTCCAGTGGAATAATTAATATAATAACTGGTATATTTTTAAATTAGCTATATGAATTATAAAGAATATGGTGGCATTCTGAACACTTCAATTAGTATTATACTTAATCTCTTCAGAAATCAGCATTAGTAATTTGCTAAATTGGGCCTGAAATTCTTACCTCATAGAGGTGTGGTTTATGTTAACAAACCCTGATGGACTCACAGGAGTCAATTCTAGCAGTAATTGTAAATATGGCAACTTTTCTGAACGAGTGAAAGATGAAGTCCCGGGGCTCACCTGCAATCTGATAGGAAAAAACCACTCTAGAGGTGCTGTTAAACACTTGGGATTTGAAAGTGACGATTGCAGTATTCATGGCAGAATAAAACGGTGCAGCTGAAGCATTTCTGCCACAGAACCGAATTCCTGGGATGCCACTACTCTGAAATGAAATGGAAGCCAAATCACATTAGATTGAGTTTCAAAAGAGAATAGGGCATAGCTGAAAATAAACTGCATATAAAAGTATGGCTTAGCTATTCAGATGGAAACTAGTTACAGTGTTTAAAGCACCTGCTACAAGACTCACACAAGTCGCACATTCCCTGGGGTGCGGACAGAGCGGGGCCAAGTTTCTGCTGATACCAGGGGACAGATGCTGGCCCACGGAAAAAGCCTAGCCTGCCACGCCAGGCCACAGCCACGCCTGCTGAATCCAGGCCTGCCGAGGCCGTGGGCTCACCGCAGGACCTGCTGGGCTTCTTCCTAGCCCCGCCCTCACCCCCGCCTGACTCCTGACACTGCTCCCAGCCCTCATGCCTGCTTAGAGGTCCCTGCTTCCCTCTGTGAGTCCTGCGCAGGCTTTGTGAGCCCTCAAGACAGCAGGATAGATGGTCTAACGCCTATCAGCCCTCGCATAAAAACAGCCCACCCCAGGTTAGTTCACTTGCTGCCTCTCACCTGCAGGTGTGCCTCTAGTCCCTGTGTTCCTGGACGTCCACTGAGAGGCCCGCTTCCCCCTGCGGCCTGCCAGCTCCCGATACTGACCTGGCTTCCGCCCCACCTGTCTTGGGCCATTACTCCTTTCCTGACCTTGCCTGCTGGACCTCTGAACTTTAATAGTGCTGTCAGCCAGCCCCTGTCCACGCCCCAGACCTCTCCACTTTGTGGCCTTGACTGAAGCTGGCTGCTGAAGACCAGTCTTTCCCCACACCCCGCAGTTCACCGAGTAGGCACGGAGGGGGTGGGGTTCGCCAGGCCGCTCACTGCAGCACCTACCTTGCACCAAAGCTCCGTCTCCTCTGAGGTGCTCTCCAGCTGACCCTTCTCGTCATTCTCACTCACCTCCCTTTGGGTTACTTCTCTTCAGAAAAGTGTGCCATCCTACCTCACAGTCATCTTATGCAGCCCATGTCCTTTCTCAACCCTTCAGGTTTCAGGCAGTTTACGCGATCCATTAAACACTGGTTTGCATTCCTGCACACCAGCGGCTTTCCTCTCCACTGTCCACAGGGGCTCACCCACTGCCAGCTGCCCGCACAGACCTTTCCATCATTGGCAGGATTCTTGCGTGACCTTTCAGCTGTCTGCTCTGTCTATTCTTGGACACCTTGGGAGTTTCAGTTTCTCCCAGTTAGCAGTCAATTTCTTACATTTCTTCCCTACCTACCCAGGCTGAAAGCCTTTGTTCTTTCCTTTATTTATTTGGCCAAAAGGAAGTGTTCATTGAAGACAAATACAGGGTCTTACTGAGGCCGGTCTGGCTGTGGTCACACTGCAGGGCTGCCCTGTGCCCTGTAAGCATGGTCCTGCACCCCAATGGAGGGCTGCCTTGTCCCCACCATCTCAGCTTCATGAAGCAGTGGGAACCTGAAAGAGCTTTAACCCAAAGGCCTTGCTCAACTTGGCTCTAAGTCCTTCAGGAAGGGTGCTGCTGGGGAAAAGGGTCTCATTCTGAAAACCGCTCCTGAGGCAATCCTGATGACCGTGCACTGTGGCCACTGCGGGGCCCAGGATGTATCTCAGTGTATGGTGTCAACGCACTGTAAAAATTCAACACACCCGGTGTCCACTCAGCAGCCAGGACTTCCAGACCTCTCCACACTGGAGTCAGCCAAACTGGATTTTTCTACCTCCACCAAGATACATGTGCAAACCAGGAGACCCCAATTTATGAGGAGGACCTTGAAAACTTGGAAAGTGATAGACTAGATTCTCTATTGTTGTCAGCATCTAGGGGCTTAAATATGACAGTCTTGAAATGAACCTGGGGTAGATTAGTTGCTCCTCCAACTGCTGAGAGTCAAGCTCGGTATTCCTGGGTCATCCCTAGGTATCCATCCTCAGTTCATGACTTCCTCCCTACATATGTTTCCTGGAGTCTCATTACTGCCATTATCTCAGCTGCCCACTCATACGATGATGACACCCAAATATTCAAGCCTTCTGTCAGTATCACACTTCTGTGTCCAACTGTCTTCTCAACAGCGCATCCCATGGGCAACTTACTCTTTTTTTCCCTTTATCTCTTATGTTTCCATGAACATTGTCCCACTGGCTTGCTGCCAAATGGCCTCTTAACTTATTTCCCTGCATTCTGCATTGACCCCTTCACTTCACCCTATACATAGATTCCACCCAGTGGCATGCGCATTTATTAAGATGCCCACGTTTCTTAATGCACCTGGTAGTTGGGAGCTCCTGATCTACAGGACCAAATTCAAGTTTCTTAACACCTATAAAGAACACATCTCAACTTAGAGTGTTGAGAACTTAATTAATTATTCCCTCATTACTTCAAGTGTTGTGCAAATACTGGTTAAAGGTCACTAGATGGGCTGCCATTCATCCTATTATTACCTGCGGTGAGGCTTGGAACTCTAGGTAATTCTGGCTGCAGTCCGCTGAGTGAGGCTGGAACGCCCACACTGTTACCTTGACCTGATGAGGCGGAGGAGCTTCAATGACCCAGGCACAGATGGAAAACGGGGAGTCTAAGCTTGAAGAGTTGGGGGATGAAATACTTTGTGGGATCCAAGTCGCATTATATGTTCCACCACAAAGCACTGAGATGGGAGAAAAGAACAACTTATGATACAAGTTCACTCATGTTTCATCCCACACACATTATTTAAAATTCTGCCTTCCCTACCCTTCCACCACAAAGGAGCCATGTTTACATCATTCTATGAAGGATTTAGGGTATATATACTTGACTATGAATTATACCTAATTTGTATCATATATTAAACACAGAATAATTAACATGGTATTTATTTATTGGCATTGAGCTTATACAGGAATTAACATTGAGTTTAACTCTAAGCATGGCATTATTTTTAGTTCATAAACACGTGTTTCATAATATATAAAATGTCTCAATTTACTCACTGTCCACGGTGGTATATGTAGCATTAAATCCTTCCCTTTCTACAGTGATGTCACTGACAAATTGAACGGTAAGGAAGTTACCAGAAGAGGTAAAGGGAGCAGGTACAGTAGAGCCACAAAATGTTCCAACCAAGTCGGCATTCTCACTGTCTCCATCATATAACTGAGAAGAAAAATAGTTCACTCGCTCTCCATTATTCACAGAGAAGTTGCATATTTTATACTGAAATGAATGTTGAAGTTGCAACAGGTCATGATTAAGAATCTTACACTTATGTTCTTAGAGCTAGTTTTATTTGAGGAAGAGAATTGCTATTGAATAGACTTACAATGATTTTTGGTAAAAACCTAGTATGATGCCTAAAAATTTTTTCTCATTGCAGAAGTAATATATGATTTTATAAATAACGTGTCATTAAAATCAGCAAACCCGTGGCATCATTCACCCCAGCCCGCTCTCCCCTCGCCAGCCCACCCAGCACCCACCCGCTGTGACCGCTCGCTGACTCTCACTGCAGCCTCCTGTGCAGACCCTGCTTCTGCTGTGTCCCTCGGTAGCCTGGCCTCCACTCATCAGCCAGATGATACAGTGAAAATATAAGTCGCACCAGTTCGCTGCTCTGCTAGATCTCCCCTAACTGCTTGCCATGCATGCACTCAGTGTAAAAGGCATAGCCATTACTGCGGCCAGACAAGCCTGATAGGACCCGCTGTGGCTCGCACCCCTCACCTTTCCACCCTGATCTTATGGTCACCACTGTGTTCTCCCTGCTTCTCTGGAAAACTGGACAGTCTTCTCCTCCGTGGCTGCTGCATGTGTTGTTCTGATGGCCTGGACCTCCCTTCCCGGCACATCCAGTGGTTTGTTCCCCTCCATTCCTTCAGGACTTTACTCAAGTATCACCCACCCAGTAAGGCCCCCTGACCAGCTTATTCAACGTGTAACCTCTCCCATCATTCCCTTTTGATATTCCCGCCGTATTCGTTCTTGAGAGCACACATTATCTTTGCAATTTGGTATACTGCTTATGTTACTGTCTGTCTCCTGCTATGAAGGGAAGTACATTCTGTGAACGCACAGACTGCTGTCTGTTCTGTTCACTGCTATGTCCTCAGGTTTCAGAAGTGCCTGGCACCTAAAAGGCACTCCATAAACATCTAATAAATAATAAAATGCTTTGATTCCCCTCTCCCACTACCCACCCCTCCCAAACTTGTTCTCTCCACATCTTCATTAAATCTGGAAACGGTTCAAGCCTAAACTGCAGTCAGTCTTGATTCCTCTCCCTCTCTTCCCCTCCCCCACATCTATTCTGTGGCTACTTTCAAATTCTACCCCAGAGGTTCCATCTCCATTGCCACCACCTTTGTCCTTCACCTTTGTTCTTATAACATCTCCTAATAGCTCTGTTTCCACAGTGAAGCCACAGTGAAGCCACAGTATTCTCCACCAAGCTGCCTGAGTGTCTGCAAACTTACATCAGACTATGCTCCTGCTCAGCCTAGAACAGCCCAGGGGATTCCCAATGCACCTAAAGTGAAACCCAAGTTCTATGGCAGTCTGCAAGCCCTTAGCTAGTCTGACCTGTGCCTGCTCAAAGCTACCCCCAACCCAGCCCTGTTCCTGTAATTCCTCTGGCCAGAATATCAGCCCACACCTCTGAACCTGCCGCCCCTCCTGCCGGGAGCACTGTCCTCAGCGGTTTGGACAGACCGCTCCTCTTTGTCATGGACTCTCAGCTCAAAAGTCACCTCCTCAGAGAGCCCAAATCTATCTAATGTTGCCTTCCCCCAACGTCCTCCTATTCTTTTTTATTATTATAATCAAAACATATGCTTATTTATTTTTTCTGTTTTTCCCAAACAAGAATGTAAGTTCCACAGGTGGGAAGACCATTTCCTTTTGTCACTAGCACCCAAAATAATTGCCACAAATTTGCCTTTAATAAATGCATGTTCAAATAGTGGGTATTTAGGTTTCTCCCAAAAACATTACTAGAAAATGAAGTTTTGTCCAGCTAAGTACACTTCAGGGTATTTTGAAAACAAGTATGTGTGTGTAGATCCAATACTGAATTTATAACTATGGTGTGCTATAAACCTCAGAACAGCCATGACCACTGACAGTATTCTACAATGCTAAGAATATATAAAATAGAAATGGTCACTTCAAAATAAACAGAAAAATAAATTACCACTAGATGGCACTGTCTCTCTCCTGCCAGACCTGGTTTTAGTAACTTTCTAACAGAAGAGACTCAAGTTGGCTAATCTAAACTCGCTTTATAGAATAGTAGATTTACCAGGTTTTAGGTACTGTACTTCTTCTGGTAAGCAAGTTACATTTTTACTATAATTATGCTGCCTTTATCATCACATTCATTTAGCAAGCATTTTTATTCTATGTGCTGTGTACCAGGCTGCTGTGCTAGGTCCTATATATACAAGGCTGTATAAGGCACTTTTCATACACTCAAGACACCAATTGAACACTCACAAATTTGTGATAGGTCCATTAATTAAATATAAATATATATTTATGTGTATATGTCAATTATATATATATATATACAATAAAGAAAAATAAGTGCTGCAATGAAAGAGTTAAATGTAATCGGTGGGGGAGGAACCCTGATAACTGGAGTCAGGGAAAACCTCACACAGATATTTGAGCTGGTATTAAAAGTGAGTCGAGACCTTCCAGGCCTACAGAAGAGGAAGGGCATCCAACCAGAGTGAACAGAGTGTGGAAGGCCCTGAAGCTGAAAGCCTGGCACGCCCACTGAGCTGCACCTGGGGGGCGGGCAGGGTGAGAGAAGAGGGGAGGGGCAGCAGTCCCGTGAGTTTCCTGCCAGTGAATGGCATCTTGTCCTATGGGAGTTCTAAGACCTGATTTGGGTTTGAACAGATAACTGGTAACTGTGATGGGAGGGAATTACATCATGCCTGGTCTCTAGCTGGAGTTTGCATTAGTTCATTCACCGCAACAAGATTTCTCTTAATTGGGCTGCAATACACAGGTTATTGCCTCTGGACAACTGACATTGGCTCCGGACTCCTGGTAGCTAAAGCCAAATTTTTCTCCACCTGCTTGCCCATTCCCAGATTTCCACAGGGTAGCTCCAGAGAGTGGGTAGCAGATGGTACCATACAAGGCTGGAGATGGGGGGACACTGGGACTAAGAAATAAGTGTGCCCTTAGAAGAATGCCCTTAGGATCTGCATAATTGGGAGCTGCTACATTTTGCATTCTGGGGTCATATGTTTCCGGCATAACTGCTTTCTACCTGGAGCTTGAATTATGTTTGAAGTCTTGTAGATGTGAATTAGAGCTGAGAAGAATTTTCTGTTTCTCAGCTTTTAAAACTCTTTGATAATGGAGTATATTAGACTCTACTTCAGATCTTGAAGAAATTGCACAAATAATTTGATGGAAGACAGTCTCTCTGACTACAACTACCACAAGATGCTGTACTTTATAAAGCCATTAATCTGAGCAGTAGAAAAAAGTAGGAAGGAAATTTGGGAATTTTAATTTCTATGAAAGTTTAGTGCAAAAGGGCAATAGATTTTGACATTGGGCTTTAATTCTTTTCAGATTTAACTTAATTTTAGACATTAATTTCCTTAGGACTTTATCTTTTACAATTTCTTTGGTGATTTGATAACAGGAGGATTTTTATTTCTTATTTGGAGCATCTCTAGTTGTATCTTATAGTCATGAATTTTTTTTATTTTACTGAGGAACTTCCATTAAGAGTCTGCTGGACAACACGCCTCAGCATAATTTGGGATGGGAAAGAGAAGAGAGAGTTCTTTTTCAGGTTTGGAGTTGAATTCTGATCCATTTCAGAACCTTCTGGGAAAAAAATAATTATATGGTTCCGGTGGTATTGGGAAGAGCCACTAGATGCAATGATTAGAATCAGCTCCATAAGTGCAGGAATTTTTATGTTGCTGTTGTTATTATTATTACTACATCGCAATGTTCTTCTCAGGGCTTGGAGCAGTATCTGCAGTATAGCAAATGCTCAAAGAACATTTGTGGAATGAATGGATGAATGAACAACTGGTGCTGCCTCAAAAAGATAGGAACCCAATGCCTTGATAGACTGCAGACTCCTTCACAAAGATGGATATCTCCTCCTCCCAGTGGCTGAGCACAGACTGAACCAAAGGTAAGACCACGGAGTGCAGAGGGAGGTTCTCACAGGGGACCATCCCCCAGGGAGTCTTTTTGCAAAAGTGTGGTGGTTTGGGGCCTTTGCAATAATTTGGAGCTGTAACTGCCACTTAGTGGTTAGAAGCCACATTGCAGAGTCCCATCCTGCAAATCATAGGACAGTTCTGCTAAGTGAAGATTTATTCTGTCCCACATAATTTCTGAATGTCCTGCCAGACATTGTGTAACAGAAGTGTTCAAAATTATTTGATCCCAGAACCTAAATTCATTCTATATATAAACACAAAAATATTTTATTTTACACAGTTGTAATATGCACCAAATTTCCAAGAATATTAACTACTATATAAGTTGGAAGAAGAGTGTATTTTATTTTGCTTAGAACTATTTATTTTTTAGTTTTTCTACCATTTTGGAAACTCATATTGCAGATGGCGATGCTGTTTTTGGCATATAAGTTTAGCCCATATTAGTTTAAATTTACACTTTTACATTTGCCATGATTCCCCATATAAGAAGAATCTGACTACTTTATCAAGTGACTTAATGTAGTTTTGTCAGAGCACTTACATATTGAAATCTGCACTACTTTATATATTTTCCTTTTATTTCTTCTTTTCATTACATTTAGTACATTGTGACTCTGGGAGAAAATCCTGAGGCAAAATACCTTTGAAACTGAAATCAGTCAAAGGGAGAAATAAAGTGGGAGTAACCCGTTTTATTGCCTACAAGCCATCATCCACTTCGCTCACCCATGTCTCTCACCACCCAGCTGCAGAAAAAAGGTGCCCCATCTAACCTCTCAGCTCAGATATGCCCTCGCTCCCCCTTGTAATCACCTATTGATCTGGAGATGGACTACTTCTCTCCACCCCTTGGAAGCACCTATGGATATGGAGATGCACTGAGACCAGGCAAGAGATTCTGGAAATATTGCAATTTTACCCACATACATATTAATATTTTGAAATTCTGTACATGGGTAGACTTTAGCTTGCATATAAGATGACTTTCATTTCATATGGTCAAGAAAACATTGTAAAATACCATCAATTAGAATAGGCACAGACTGAGTTGAGAAGGAACTGAAAAATGTTAGGAAGGAGCCCTCTCCCTTCTGCTAGCTCCACATTTCCTGGCAAAGGAATGTCAGTTAGGCTCACCGTCTTGGGCCCTCTCTGACACTACCTTCACTCCTCACCACAGCAGCTGGGACTTAACTGCTTTGGCAGGTGGGTCTGCCAAGGAGCTAGGGACACACCATATAGCTCATGGTCCACCCTGACCTGCTCCCACTCGGTAACCAGCCCCACAGGAAGTGTGCCTTTGTGATGTCCCTCCAAACCCAGCTCAGCCAGCCCAGGAAGGAAGCCTTTCCCAAACCCCAAAGTGACATCAATGAGATTTTCTTCTGCCATACTTCTCTTTGTTGTTCACATTTATCATTTCTGTCACAATGATAATAATTTATATGCTTACAGGTCAGTCTTCTCCACGTCACTGACAGCTCCTGGAGGAACTATATCTCTAGCTCTCCATATCCCCAGAGAGGGTACAACGCCTGGCACAGCATCATGCCACACAACTCTTTATGGAGTGCATGTGATATTAATTTCAACAGCAACTGATCATTGGAATACACAGCTCACTGTTACTGCAGCTGTCTTCATGACTTTTCAAGTCAACCCTTTCAAAACTGACAGTGATAGAATTACAAATAAATGATGGAAGTGGCATGTTTTCACTTGTGTATCCACCTACAGAATTGAATTCAAATAACTCTTCTAAAAATTGACTTGATTTTATCTAGGCAATAATCTAAGAGGAATCAATTGTCCCATTTATCATAGAGAATCTCTTTAATAAAGACACTTGCTTCCCATTCCAAGGACTGTTCTTTGATCTTCCAGTTTGGTATAAGCTGGAAAATTTGCCAATTGAGGGAAACTGCTTTCCTAAGATGGAAAATAAGTAGGTCAGAACAGATTTTCTTTAAAAAAGAAGAAGTCCTGTTATACTGAAGCTAGATAGTAACTCCCTGTTTCTGAGCATTGCTATTTCTGTCCCAAATGACTTGAAGAAATTCAGAAAATTACTAGTTCTTTTAATGACATTATCAAATCATGTTCAGAAATGGATCTTGAGAATAAATCCAATATCAACCCTTCTCCTGGCAAGACCACACCCCAAATATCCAGCATGAATTTATATTTCTAAGAATCTGCATGCAAGTCAATTATTTTTAATTTTTTAAGAAAAGGAGTTTCTATGGACTTCATGCCTATATGGAGTTACACAAAGAGGAGGAAAAAGAAGTAAATTTGCTTATACATTATATTTCAAACACAATGCTGACCACTATTATCTTTATCCTTGAAAGAACCTTGCAAGGTAGATACACTTATGTGATTTTTGCTTGTTTTTTAATAGATGAAGTGATGTAGAATCAGAGAGATGAGGGCATTTGGTGGCAAAACTGGGTTTGAGTCCATTCTATCTGCCTGGAAGCTTCACCTTTCTGTAGAACCAGGGTAGCTCTTGAACAACCCTGAAGATCAGCTTTACTGCTGCTCTGGCCATTTCGGCCTCATTTTAGAAAATAATTCAATCTGAACAGACATCCCCTGATATCTCTAATTTTCATGAACTCCACCTGATCTGGCTGCTGTGCCATTTCAGTTAAATTGTTCTCATCCAGTCTAATGAGTTTTTTTGTTCCTCTTCACTTCTCTGGCCTCTAATTTACAATTCAAGAGTACATCATTGGCAAAGCTTGCTTTATTTTAGTGATACTCCACTGTTCCTGAGTCTTACCTTTTTTTCCCCGTGACTTGTCTGTTTCCCAGCCAGCCTCTCCGGTCCTGACTGCCACACGGTGTGCATTCCCCAGGAAAGCTCAGTGGGAGCTGGGCTTCCTAACTCCATGTGGTCTCCCTCACAGGAAGTATTGTTTCTCCTGATTTCAGACACCTTCTGCCACCTCCCTCTTGTCCTGCTGTCTTCTTGCTGGAGCTCCATTCCATCCTCTGCCCACGGGACAGCCTAGCAGTCTGTCCTGCTGTCACCCAAACTGAACCAGGACTGTCCAAATACATGGTCTCCTCCTAATGGCACTGCTCCTGGCCCCCTAAGCTTGGAGCTTATCACAGTGAAAATATAAGACAGTCTATAATTAAGTGCTCAGATGTATAGTCCACTCATGACTTTTCCTTCCTTTAAAAAAAAAAATACTGGTTCTTAAAATTTTAAGACAATTTTTAAACTTACAAGTTTCTCTTCCACAAGGCTTGTCAGCTCCACCATCTCTGCATCCTTCTTATCCAACAGAAACCTCCCCTTAAAGCCTGAACTCCAGACTCCCTCCCTTCCAGTCTGCCCAAATGCTGACTCCAGATTAGTATTCCTGAGACACTGAGCTCATCATATCACTCATTGGAAAGCCTTCGGTCCCTCATTTTCAGTGGCATAATATCTAAATTCAAGAGTCTGACTTTTCAAGATCCTTTCCAATCTGGATATTTCTGCCCTTAGGCGAACGTATTTCTTGCTGCTGTTCAGCAGTGCTGTTATGAAGCAAGGCTCTTAACCCTTCTAAGACATGCATATTCCAGCTTCTGTGCCTTTTTTTTATCTGGTGCAGAATGCCTTCTCTCCTGGCTTGAATAAGCATTCCCTCACTCTATGAAGTCTTTCTTATTCACACCAGATTATCATGAACTTTCCTCCCTTTAAACTTGCACACTGCTGCAAGCCTGTGTCCGATGCATCAGCTGGCACTTAAATATTGACTATCCCGAACTGCTTGCTGTTGGCTTGCCTGTGTCCTCTGTTAGCTCTGCAGTCAGATGTGTGCTCCTCAGGGGCAGAAATCCTAACCTTCTTGTTGTTTCTGCCCCAAGTGTAGTAGTATATATTGACTGATACTACTTAGAATTTTTAATCTGAATACATATAGCCTGACAATACCAAGATTTTTTCAACATCTAAAGGTAATATGGAAAGGAAGTGTAAAACTTTATTTTAGGATTTGCTAAATTTTTTCACACAACTTATCTTCCCATAGATCATCATTTGACAAGACATGGATGGACAGGGAGTCTTAGAGCTAATTTTAGAAGCCATGTAAAATTATTGAGTCATCCATATTAAAGATAATTGCATATGAAGATAGAGCAACTGTGGTATACATTATATCATTGAAGAACAGGTTATTTTAAAAATCAGTAGTACTCAAATTTTTTTGGACTTCCTGTATGGTATAAACCGGAGTAAAACATATACAAGTCTGGATCAGAAGACTCTGTTAAGAAGTGTAACAGCCTTACCTTTACATAATCATAAGTGCATCTTTGAAAAGAACTTGCTGCCTCCAGAGCAAATGTATTGAAGATGAGTTTAATCTGCTTGTTTGAAGGTGCGGTTATAAGCCAGAGGCAGTTTAAGTTCTTGTCGTATCTTCCATTCGAATCAGAATCGGGAGAGGCAAAGGTGTGATTTGAGCCTGTCAGGTAACCCCCGCATCCTTGCCGAGGCCCTGCATTAAAACAAAGACACATCACTACGCAGCCTGGAGAGAAGTGATCTTCAGTTTAACAGGAAGCGTTTTTGGACCCTCATCGTTCCATCTTCCGTGATGCTTTCATGAACATCACCAGGTGTTTGTGGGGCTCCCGTGGCTGACGCACGTGCTGCTGCTCTTGCGTTGGCCTCCTCATCACTCATGTCCTCTTTGCTCCTGTCACCACCCTTCAGTGCTCTGCTAGTTGCCTAGAAAACTGCGGGACCATATTTGGTTCTATGTGCATTCTTAGAACTGAAGCTGTGATTTTATTGAGGCATTTTCTATCCCTGAAAAATCCAATTTTATAGAAAATAATTTTGCACAATAAAACTGGTGGAAACTGTGGATATGTTTTATGTTTATGTTCTGCTTTTATGAACACTGTCAGATTGAAAACTGAATGTATGAAGACTTTACCCAGCATGCCAAGAAAACTGGCTCTGAACAAACTTTTTATTTAAATAATTTATTAGAAAGAAGTCAAGAGGCATTTAACACTACAGTCCCATTTATATTAAACCACACTCTATATTGATTTTTTTCTTTTCCAAAAGAAAAGGAAGCTAAAGAAGATAAACTGCATTGGAGAAAAAGTGTACTTTGAAATTCAGAATAAAAATACAAAAGAGAGATAAAGAAAAATCTCAAGATGACTCAATGAAGTACTTTGAAAAAATATGGAACAAAATCATCAGAATATAGGATTTGGCTTTGTTTACTCTATAGTCTAGGCCAATACCTCAGAAATGATGTAAGGAGAGCATAAAAGGGAGAAAAACTTGTTGACAATTTTGAAAGAAACAGTGAAGATGAACTAAGCTCAGAACAACCATTGTAGGAATAGATGTTAAATAACTACTCAAAGTAATGTTCATACAGCTTACACTGTACACAAATATAGACCATTACTAGTTCCAAAGGTCAATGTCACTGACATTGGCCTTCCATCCATTTGTTTCATTCCATATAACTGTTGACAGAGAAAGGACTGCTTTCAACATTAGGGAGTGCTAAGATTTTGGATTTGGAGCTTGGCAGGAAAACTTAACAATAGCAGCCCTTCTTAAATGCAAAGGGTACTGAACGTGCTCTCTCCATTGCTGGTAAGTCAGGCAAAACTGTTTCCCAGGGCTGAAATGGTTCCAAAGGCCCAATGCCTGATAGATCCATAGTAGGACAAAAATTTCTGAAACTAAAGCAATGTACAGGGCTGTACTACATCTGGTAATCTTGCTCACATGAAATAGGCCTGCAAATTAAAGAAAACTGGAATTTAATGGCTGTTACTCTAATGTAGATTGATAGTTATGTATGGAAACCATTTAAGCTTACTGACATGCAGAACAGGGAAGAACAATTTTACTTAGGGTATTAATGAATTGATAAATTAATTTTTTTATTAAATATTGTTTTAAGATTCAAGGAAACATTTTTGGCATTGAGGTGGGAAGAGATGAATGGTGGTCCAGTACCAGTGATAAGATATAAATAATAATGATGATGCAATTTATAAAATGATAAATGTCATAGAGGAGGCAGCAAAGTTGTGTGAGTTTTGCAAGAAAGGAGAGATTATTTCAAGCTATGAGGATCTAGAATGTTCAAGGAAGAGATGACATTTGATTTGGGTCTTGAAGGATAAATAGGACCAGACCATGTAAAATGGGATTGGTACTGACAATTTCAGGCTGAAAGAACCTTATAAACCGAAGATTAAGTGGACAATAATTTACATGGTATGCATAAGAAAGCATAATTCTGTTTGTAAAAACAATAGAGTACGTGAAGGAGAATAATGAGAAAATTGAGAAACAGGATAGGCTGTTCTATTGAGGCTCTCAAATGTCAGATCATAGAATTTGACCTTGAGACTTAATTCTGTGAACAATGGGGATGCACTTGAGAGGTTTTTGATCAGAGGAGTGTCACGGTCAGAATGCACTTTCATCTGAAAATGTATCTGGTAGTCACATTGCCTGCATATGAATGGGACCGAAGGGAGGGCAGGTGAGAGTGCAGTGCCGCCGTCTGGGCTGGAGGCAGCAAGAGGCCATGAAGCATGGAGGTTTGTACAAAGGAAAATGGTGCTACTGGGCTTTATGCTATTGGTATCAGCTTCAAAACCTAAATGTTAATTTTAAAGCTTCAACCTATATATTTCATCACTACTTGTTTATTTTTACTAATTAATAAGGGTAAAATGACCAATGTACTTGAGCACAGTGACTGCCGTAATACACGTTTACTATTCAATACTACTACTGCTACTAAAAGCGCAGACACACCCTCCCTATAGGGAACCCCAGAGCAAGAATCTGTAAATCATTGGTGTGTCCTGGCATAGGTTGAGTACTAGATTGGATGATTCTTAATTCTCCACTCCTTGTGTCCTAGTGCCTCTTTGCAGTGTACTAGAATGGACAGAGTATATTTTTCTATCCACTTAATGTTAGGTTTGGCCATAGGAATTGCTTTAAACACTGGAATATTAATGGTCATGAAGTAGGAAGAGGTCTTAAACGGGCTTGTGTTTTTCTGGCTTGGCCTTTGTGCTCCTGTGATTCACCAAGAGCTCTCGCCCTGAGTAACTGCCAGTGAAAGAGAAAGTGGTTCATCTTGAGCTGACCTGAATCCAGCCTGAACTACAGAAACAAGCATAGTCAACCTGCATCCTGGCACAGATGGGCAAACCAGTCTAGAGACAAATAAGTGATCAAACTAAATACCGTAAGTATAAGCTACTGAATTTTAAATGGTTTGTTATGCAGCATTACTGTGGTAATAGCTGACTAATACGTAAATAGCTTGCTTGAGTTATCAAACTGTAATAGAGTGCATTGCTTAATTCATAGAATTTACACACAGAATAATGAAAAGGGAGAACTGACATTATCAGATAGTCTTGGCCAAATGCTTAAATAAATGAAGTAAACATAACATTATGTGAGTGAATTAGATAATTCACATTGCGTATAAATAATAAGAGTTAATATATGAATGAATAGTTGAATAATTAAAGTAAGCATAATATTTTATGAGCAAATACAATTTTGCTATTTGTGTAGAGCAAGAAATGGTTAAAATTGCTCTAATTCTCCCCAATTCCATATAGTACACCTGCTCTGTGCTTCCACTCCTTCTGTGGCAAAATGTAAATGTAAATGTTTGTCTTTGGGGAAATACAGAGGTGAATATTAACAAAAGAAGGATTCCAGTGCTATTGACATATTACTATTTCTATATTCCCATAATAGCAGGATACATGGGAAGAACAAGCAGAACTCTGACTATGAAATCATTTCATACATAAGAAAAGAATATTTGTTCACCGTACGGATATTTTTAAATTCCCCTTTTTTACCAGTATACGACCTTAACCTTGACATGTGGTTTAGCATCATAAATCTATCATCTTCGTTGTTACTACAAATTTTTCTGCCTTTGAGTGGCTCCCATCCATCAACACCTACTTCATCAGTCAAGTTGTTTCAGAAATAATTGGTAATGAGACTCCTCAAGTCTGAGGACAGATGTCCTTCTAACCCTCTTCCCCAAATTGGAAACACTTTCTACAAAAGAGCTGTTTCTTTAGAGAAAGAAAATGTTTGGCTAAAGAATTATTGGAAATATAAACCCGTAATAAGCAGTGAGATCTAGGTTGAGATCTACTTAATTAAAAATCAATAACTGAATCTTTCATTATTTTTCTCCAGCAGAGGGAAGCTTAAACCAGAATAAATCTGATAGAGTAAGAAATAGTTATATTGTCTAAGAGAAAACATGTTGAAGGTTTAGAGTCAGATACATTTCTAAATAATTACCTTGAGATTTGACACTTTTATGGCTGACATTTTACAGAGGACTTCTGGATGGGATCTCTATCAGCCCCTGAACAAGCACCACTTGGATAGAGGGGAGATGGCTAGCACACTTACAGATAAAGATTGGCTTGACTTCAGGCATTGTCCTGTTCCCCAGTGAGCCAGCTGCGGCCTTAGGCTACAGTGGCAGGAAGCACAGTGAAGCTCAGGAAGCAGAACATAAACTCATTTGAAGCTGGTGCCTTGGGGAAATGGGAGCTCACCAAGATAGCTTCCTTTCAACCACAAAGGACATAGGGCTACAGCTACATAATACTTTCTTTGGATAAATCTTCCTGTAATTTTCAAGGCTGCAGCATATAATTGCCCTAAAGCAATGAATTCATTTTTAAAAATTCAACTGGTTTCCAGATGAACATGTTTTGTTTTATCTTCTAAAAATAAACTAGATTTATTATTTTCCTCTCTAACCTCAAAAACATACAGTCTTTTAGGTATTATATTTATGCTAAGAATATAACAATTTTCCTAATGCAAGAAAAAAATCTTAATGGTTTTCCTAACAGGCATTGCGTTTTTTTATTCCTTTTTAGTAACTTCACTTAATTTGACTCATTTTAGATATCCCAGTCTGATTTACCTTAGAATGTGTATTTTGTCTGGTAACATTTGGGAAGCAAAAGACTAACATACTAAAAGGTAATTTCAGCAGCTAATCAGTAGTTCTAGTCACTAGAAAAAGAGGTATACATAAAGAACTAAGGATAAGGAGAATTTTTATCATTATATTTTACTTCGCATTATTAAGGTGTGGGTAAAATTGTAACATTTCCAGAATATCTCACCTAGCTTTAGTACATCTGCATATCAACAGGTGCTCAAGGATGGAGAGAAGTATCTCTTTAGTATATTTGCATCATTCCTCAGGCGTGGAGAGCAGTTCGTCTCCATTTCAATGGGTAATTACCTGGGCAAGGAGGGCTTATCTGTACCTGAGAGGTGAGGGGAGGGCCAGTTTTGCTTCTGCTGGAGCAGGAAAGAGAGAAGGGCCCAGACTACAGTTTGTAAGCACTAAATGAATTTTAAACTTTATTTCTTCCTTTGACTGATTTTGGTTTTTGAAGGTATTTTGCCCTGGGATTTCCTCTCCCT